TTGGAGGCCTCTGGGGGGGTGTAGTTGCAGTCTCGAACCCATCTTGGGCCACGTTGGGGCTATCTGGGCTGTCTTGGAGGGGCTTGTCGAAGTCCCCGAGGGCTTCTGGGAGCTCTCTGGGGCAGTGGTCTGGGAAACCCCGGATCTCCCCTGCCCCCCCGTGGCCCTGGCCCCGGGCGCCCGGGCCTCGTGCACGGGATATATATATATATATATATATATATATATGTATATATATATATATAGATACATACATACATACATATGTATATACATATATATACACACACACACACACCTGTACGATCACCCTTCGGGCTCGGGGGATACGGAGGTTCGGGGGGGGAGGAACCAACGTCTCACTCGATCGGTCTCACTATCGATCTCACTATCGATCTCACTATCAGTCTCGCTCGATCGATCTCACTCGATCGATCTCACAATTGTTCTCACTCGATCTATTTCATTCGATCGATCTCACAATCGATCTGACGATCGATCTCACAATCGATCGCACTATCGATCTCACCATCGATCTCACAATCGATCTCACATTCGGTCGAACTATCGATCTCACTATCGATATCACAGCCGATATCACAATCAACGTCATCATCCTCATCATCATCATAATCATCAACAACATCATGCTCTTAAACAACATCAACATCATCATCATCATCATCATCATCATCATCATCATCATCATCATCATCAACACCATCGGGACACCATCATCATCACCTCATCACCATCATCATCAAAATCATCATCATCACCATCATCATCGGGACACCATCATCGCCACCATCATCATCATCAACAGCATCATCATCGGGACACCGTCATCATCATCATCATCATCGTCATCATCATCGGAACACCACCATCATCATCATCATCAAAATCATCACCATCAACATCTCGTCATCATGATCATGAACAACATCATCAACATCATTATAAGGACTCCATCATCATCATCATCATCATCATCATCATCATCATCATCATCATTAGCAACATCATCATCATCAGCACCATCATCATCATCACCATCGGGACACCATCATCTTCGTCACCATCATCATCATCATCACCATCATCATCAACTGCATCATCGGGACACCGTCATCATCATCATCACCATCATTGGGCAATCACCATCATCACCTCATCATCATCCTCATCATCATCATCGGGACACCATCATCGTCATCATCATGATTATCATCATCGGGACACCATCATCATCACCATCATCATCAACAACATCATCATTAACCTCAACATCATCATCATCATCATCATCATCATCATCATCATCATCGGGACACCATCATCATCATCATCATCTTCATCATCATCAGGATCATCAACATCATCATCATTATCATCATCATCATCATCATCGGGGCACCATCATCATCATCAGCAACATCATCATCATCATCATCAACATCATCATCGGGATACCATCATCATCACTACCATCACCACCATCATCATCATCATCATCAACACCGTCAACAACATCATCATCGGGACATCATCATCATCACCACCATCACCATCATCATCAACGTCAACATGATCAACATCATCATCATCATCATCATCATCATCATCATCATCATCATCATCATCATCATCATCATCATCATCATCCCGGAATGGAGGCTTTTGGTCCGGCCGCGTTCCAGCTACAGGAGACTTATTTCTCGCCCGCCCTCGCAGCTTCGCCTCGCCCGCACACACGGCACGCACGAACACGAAATCGAAACCGATTTCCCGGTAGAGGGGCTCTCCGTTCCACTTCGATCTCACCCCCTCACCTCCGATGTATATATATATATATATATATATATATATATCCGCCGGCCCCCTTGTGGGGCCACCAGACTGCGAGGCGCGGGTTCGCAGTTTCCAGTACCAGTTGTAGCTTGTAGTTTCCAGTGTTACAGTTCTGCTTCTTGCTGGTTACTGTAACTAGTTGGTTGACCGCGCGAGGGGGGGGAGGCCCAAACCAAATTTTTAGCGTCTCCTGGGCGCGTTGTCTGAATTGCTGGGGGGGCTCGAAATCGACACCCCTCACGCAGATCCGCGGGGACAGGGTCCAAAAACACAAGGGATTTGCCACATTTCTGCAATTCGGTGCCACCCCTCACGCAGATCCGCGGGGTCAGGGTCCAAAAACACAAGGGATTTGCCACATTTCTGAAATTCGGTGCCACCCCTCACGCAGATCCGCGGGGTCAGGGTCCAAAAACACAAGGATTTGCCACATTTCTGAAATTCGGTGCCACCCCTCACGCAGATCCGCGGATCAGGGTCCAAAAACACATGAGATTTGCCACATTTCTGAAATTCGGTGCCACCCCTCACACAGATCCGCGGGGTCAGGGTCCAAAAACACAGGGATTTGCCACATTTCTGAAATTCGGTGCCACCCCTTCACGCAGATCCGCGGGGTCAGGGTCCAAAAACACAGGGTATTTGCCACATTTCTGGAATTCGGTGCGACCCCTCACACAGATCCGCGGGGTCAGGGTCAAAAACACAAGGGATTTGCCGCATTTCTGAAATTCGGTGCCACCCCTTCACGCAGATCCGCGGGATCAGGGTCCAAAAACACAGGGGATTTGCCACATTTCTGGAATTCGGTGCGACCCCTCAAGCACATCCATCGCAAGGCGTGGTAACCCAAACTGCGAGAACTCCCTCGGCCCTTTAATCGCAAGGTGTGGTAACCAAGCCCGTAAACCATACACTCTTTACCAATCGCCAGGTGTGGTAACCCCTCTTGTGATCAGTTGGTTTTGCTGATTGCGAATCGGCTTCGCATGAAGTTTTACGATACTGCTTCACGACAGCGCCAAGGCCTCATGACTTAGCTCTTCCATGGCCCATTCTCGAGAGAGGGGCCGGCGGCAGGGGCGAAGCCCTTACGGATATCTATATATATATAATATATATATATATATATATATATATGTGTGTGTGCAGACGTGTATTCGAAAGTATGTAGATGTGTACGCAGAAATACAGATATACAGCGATAGATCGTCATATACGTTTGTGAATGTATGTAATGGCACACCGCACGCTCCGACCGATCGTCCACGCTGATATGCCATAATTACCTGTATGCCCCATTGTGAAGGCCGTGCGCATTCGTTGCACTGGCGAAGTGATACATAACCGAACCAGCCATGTCCACATGTTACCGAATCCTGAGAGAAACATGTAGATGCAACGTGAGAGCCCTGCTTTCCATTGGGGCGGGGCTGCTTCCAGTTTGAAACGAGCAGAAGTGCTTCCTCCCCTCCTCGTCCTCGGCGGCCCTCCCCCGCACTTCAAAGACGGGGCTTTGAGACATGGGGCCCCTGGGCGAAGAGGCCCTGCACAATGCATATTCAATGCCCTTAGAGCCCCATCCATCGGGCGCCGTTCTGTGCCTCCCCAACCTCCCAGCTCGGCTCCACGTGAGAGTGACCCCTAGGCAAGAGTGATTTCTGGTGGGCGGCTTGCCGATCGTTGCGCGACTACTGCGGCAGTCGCGGCATGCGCGCCTGGGTTTGGCCCCCCCGCGCCCTCTCCCAAAAGCCGCGCACCAGAGGTCACTCCGGCGAAAAGCAAACTGGGTCGGCCAGGGCCAATGCCCCGAACCCAGGCCGGCCACGCCGTGGCTCCCAGACACCAGGCCTGTCTGCAGAGGGCAGAAGAGAGGTCCATTCCGTGTGACCGGCTCTGGAACGCAGAGCCCCAAAATGTTGTTGACGCCTCACTTGTTCCTTCCTTTTGCGCGCACTACTCCCTCTTGTCGCCGGAAGTTACGTGGTGGGCCTCATCGAAAAAACTCCACCGAAACGCCTTGTTCCTTCCGCCGCCCTCCGCCTGCTTCCGCCAGCGGAACCGCCTGTCGCCGGCGGAAGCGCCACCGCTTTGCTTCCACCGGCTCTCGCCGAAGGCGAGGGTGCGCCGACGCCGAGGCCCTCTCTGGAGCGCGCCGCGCGGCCAAAGGCCCGGGTCGGCGAAGGGGGATCGGCCGGGATTTCGCTGACCTTTCCCATCCCCCCGCCCCCCAGCGGACCTTGACTCGAGCTCCCCTCGCGGGCACGGCCTCCCCAGCAGGCGCTCCTCCTCCTCCAGGCGAGGGCGCGGGAGGACCCGCACGGACCCCATCAGTCAGGCGGCCTCGCAGGTCCTTGCTGGAGGCGTCAGCGGTTCCTGTAAGCGCCTGCCTGGCCGTTCCCAACACGCGCGGCGCAAGCGACTGCGCAGCTCCTCTAACAGGGGGTATGGCGACCCCAATCCCCGGCTGTGTGAGGCTGAATGGACCAAAAATGTGAAGCCAGACTCAGAGATATACGAGGGGGGCATCCATCCTCGACAGGGGTGCGTCCGAATAGCACCCTGGGGGCGTCCCCGAGCTTCCCCCCTATTCTGAGCGGCCTGCCGCTTCACGAAAAAAACAGGAGTGGGGGCGAGAGCGATCTTCGGCAGCGTGTCATCACAACTAGACGTCTGGGAAACTCCACAGAAGCACGCCACAACGCAAGCTTGAAATGCGACGTCTCCAGAGTCGGACTGCAAACACGGAGGCGCAGCAGTACCTCTGAACCTGAGAAGCCTTAGAGGGTGGAGTGTGAACAACGGCAGCGTGTTCTCGGCTCGCGCGCAGGTCCCAAGCAGTTCCTGACTACCTACCAGACCACCCCAACCCAACCCGAAGACCCGAATTTCGGGTTGGGGGGTACGGGTTCCATATGTGTTTCCTCGATGTTTCCCGACCCCCCCCCCACTGGAAATCGAGGGTAAATCTGAGCCTTCGGGTTGGGTTGGGGTGGTCAGGTGGGTGGTGAGTTCCCAGGCAGCGCCTCGCGGCGCCGACCCCCGCAGCGTGCGCCCCGAGGCCCCCCGCGGCGGCCGGCCGGCTTGGCGGCGCGGTCCGCGCCGACCGGGGCGCGCGAGGCCGGCGCGCGCGTGCTGCGGGCCGCCTGGACGACGGTCTGCAGGTTCTGCCGGTTGTGCCGCATGAGCTCGTGCAGGCACTCAAGGCCTCGGGCGGCGGCGGTGGCGGTGGCGGCGACTTCGGCGGCGGCGGCGGCGGCGTCTTCGGCAGGGTGTGCTTTTGCCAAGGATCCTTTTTGCCCCAAAAAGCGCACTACGGGGCACGGGCGCGCGACGCCGCGTGCCCAGGTCAAATTGAATGTAACAAAACTGCTGGGCTGGTTCTTTAACCAGTTCACGAGACATGGCTTGCCAAGATCTGTGAAAGCACAAAGAAACCATCATTGTTACCAAGTGGTTCCTCAAGCAACAAGATCAAGAATTCTGCGCGCTAGCACTCGCTGAAACTTGTACAAAAGCATGGGTTTCAAAACATTCTTACCAAATCAGACAGCCCAGACCACTCGCGCGAGCATGTCGAAAACTGTAGACCACTATCGCGCGCCCACCAGCTCTGTCAAATAGTACAATGCGGGCCACACGCGCTCATTTCCGCGGGCCCACGTCAAAATCATGTCAGGATCCCTTGATTTCTGCGGGCGTGCACTCTCTCCGTATCCTCACCAGCGCAGTCGCCATAATCATCACCACCATGATCAGCATCATCGTCGTCACCATCGTCCTCAGAATCCTCTTCTTCATTATCACCATCATCAACAACACCACCACCATCATCATCACCACCGTCATCACAGCATCAACAGCATCACCATTGTTATCATCATCACCTCCACCATCACCACCACCATCATCACCATCAACTTCACCAGCAACGTCATCATTACCACCGTTGAGATCGCCACCGTCGCCGTCATCGTCGTCATCGTCGACGTCGTCTTTGTCGACGTCATCACGATATCGCACCCGCCCGAATCACCGACCCGTTCTGAAGTGCCCGCGCGCCAGCGCGGGGAAGTTCCCATCGGTAATCGCGATCGCGGCCGCATCACGTGTGCCGAACCAGCTGCGCGTGAGCGGGCGCGCCAGTGCAGCCGCAGAGATGCGCTTGCAAGCTCCAATCGGCAACAGAAATCGTGGCCGAATTGGTCTTGCCAAACAGTTTGCAGGTGGCAGGGTGGGACGTTCGCGCGAGCTTTGGAGCTGACGACTGCCATCTCCACAGGTGAAGTTCACCACATAGCTTGCACCACAGGCTTTAGCTCACGCCACTTAGGTTGCACGGCGTAGCTTACACCACAGGAGCTTGCACCACTTGGGTCGCACCACACACCTTACACCACATACACTGTACCACAAAGCGTACACTGAAGAGATTGCACCACACCGATTACAGACGACCACATATAATGCACGTCGGTAAAAAAATGTAGTAATAATAATAATAGTAATAATAATGATAATAAAAAATGTGTGAGGCCCACGCTGGCAAACATGTTCTTGAGTTATTGAGTTTTCTTGAGTTCTCTTGAGTTCGGGCCCCGTGGTCGTCAAAAAGTCGATCCAGGAGGCAAAAGCTGGCCAGGATGGGCTACGGGAGGGGAAGGGGTTACGGAATCGGTGTTGAGCGGAGGTTGGTCGGCCGACGGCGAAGCGGAGGCGACGACGACGACGAGCGTGTGCCCGCGGCCCCCCCGCCCCCGCGGGTGGGGAGGCTGAGACCCTCGATTCCCTCCTCCTCTCTCCTCCTGTTTCATTCCTCCTCCTCCTCCAACAGCTGATCTCCGGCCCGGGCGCCAGACCTGCTTGCAGTCTGGTGTCCACTGGGGCCGGGCGTGCCTGCCAAAGGGTGCCGGGCCCGCCGCGAGGGGTGGGGGCGTGCCCCGCAGGGATGTTCTACAAAAAGTCTTGCCTACAGGAGTCCTAGCCCAGTCCGTAGGGAACTGGTCCACTGCTCTCCCCCCCTAGTTCACCCCTACAGGCGTCCTCTGTTGTGCATGGCTCCCTCTGCTATCCGCATGGTTTTCTTTATGACCCTACACGCGTCCTCTGTTGGGCACGGCTTCCTACGTTGCGCATGGCTTCCTCTGCTAGCGTCATCTGTTGCGCATGGCTTCCTCCGTTACGAATGCTTCTTCTGCTGTTCCCATAGCTTCCTCTGCCATTCGAATGGCTTCTTGTGGCTATTCCAATGGCGTCCCAACAATCCTCCAACAATCGCCAAACTCGGAAGTAGAGTAGAGTAGAGTAGAAGCAAAGAAGAGCAGTGCATATTGGAGTAGAGAAGAACAGATGGGTAGAGTAGAGCATACTAGAGTAGAGTCGAGCAGAGAAGAGTATGGTAGAGCATACTAGGATACGTTACAGCAAACTAGAGCAGGGTAGGAGTAGAGTAGGA